GCCGGGGAGGACGGAGAGTCTGAAGGTGGGGGGCTTGATGGGTGGTAGAGACCGCACGCCGAGCGAGGCGGCGAGGTTCCGGGGCGCTGGCCCTTTAAGGGCGGGCGTGCGCGGCCGCCCCGGCGCCCGGGACTCAGAGAGCGAGCTGCGCGGCGGGGCGGTAAACAGCGAGGCGGCAGGCCCGCCCGCTGACGTCAAGGGAAACTGACACACTTATTTAAAGGGCCAGGGCCCGGATTTGGCCTTAAAGGGACCGCAGCCACCTAGCTGGAAGCGTCTGGATCGACTCCTCCTCCGGCTACTCGGCTCCCGCCCCCGCTTTCGTTATCGTGTAGGTTCCCGGAAGTTGAGATCGGAACCGGAGGCGGTTTCTATGAAAGGGCCCCAGGTGTATGGTTCTGGTTCACCAATTCTTTCTGCACAAGCAGGGACACCCACGAATCCGGTTAACCGGGGGTGGTGGGTGTTAGCGATTTTAACAGTGGAGTCCGCTAACACCCACCATTCTCGGTGTATAATCTTTCTTGCGGTCTATTAAGAAACGAAGATCTCCTCGGGGAATTAGGAAACACAACGGCCTGAGGGCGAAACTGGGGCAGGAGGCACCCTGCTGCAGCCCCATAGCCTCAGCCGCCTTCCAGAGATACATTGGAATGTAGTCTCATCGAATGCCAATTGGTGGAAACTTTTCTACCAGATATGCTGACACCGTGTTTCAAGAAACTGCACCCATGCCACAGAGTCGATTCTGATTCATAGCAACCTTACAGGACAGAGTGGAATCCCCCCTTTGGGTATGGGAGACTTCAGATCCTCAAGGGGTAGACAGCTCTGTGTTCTCCCATCAAGAAATGTTAAACCATTGCACACTGCATTGACCCATAAATTGGCCAGTTTACATACAGCCTTGGAAACCGCAATGGGCAGTTCTGCTCAGTTCTCAAGGGTCTCTGAGTCAGAATCAACACAATAGCAGTGGGTTTAGTTATACTTAGCACTGTGATATTTATAATAGAAACCATAAAGCCATGCTTGTAATAACGGCATCGTTCAACGGACTATTAGGAAGGTATAAAAAATTATGCTTAAATGATTAAGGGACATGTGAATGGTGAATTCCAGAGAAGATACTGTATAAACAGTATGTCAATAGAAACTGAAGAAATTGCACACAAAAGTTAAACGATTCAACTCATTCACAACAAAAAGTTCAAAATTAAACACATTCAATGACTATCTCCATTCTACACGATTTTTTTAAAAGTAGCATGTTTAGTGCCAGCAAGCTGATTCTGGCTTATAAGGACCCTGTGTACAACAGAATATAACAGTCCTGCGCCATCCTCACAATTATTCTTGTTTCAGCCTATTGTTGCACCCACTGGGTCGATCCAATTTGCTGAGCACTGTCCTCGTTCTCACTGGCCCTCCCCTTTACCCAGCATGGTGTCCTTCTCTGGGACTGGTCTCTCCAGACAACATGTCCAAACTACCTGAGACCAAGTCTCACCAGCCTTGGCTCTAAGGCAGGGGTTCTCCACCTTCCTAATGCTGAGACCCTTTCATACAGTTCCTCATGTTGTGGTGACCCCCAACCATGAAATTATTTTTGTTGCTACTCCATAACTGTACTTTTGCTACTGTTATGAATGGGGCGACCCCTGTGAAAGGGTTGTTGGACCCCCAAAGGGGTCACGAACCACAGGTTGAGAACCACTGCTCTAAGGAGTATTCTGGCTGTACTTCATCCGTGACAGATGTTAGTTCTTTTGACAGTCCATGGACCACAGACTGCTAAAAACAACATAGTTTAACGTTTTTCTTTAATTCTAAAGGTACGGAAGAGTACCCACATGGGGGGTGGCAGGTGGAAGGAATCACTGAATTGTAGGTGGTTTAAAAATCTTTAGACTCTTTGAGAAGTATGCATTTTCTATAATGTACATCTATTCCTTTTTTATAAGCTGAATTTATTACCCAACTCAAACTTGCTGCCACTGAGTCGATTCCGACTCTTCATCTTTCTTCCTGGAGCAGCTGGTGGTTTCGAACGGCTGACTTTGTGGTTAACAGCCCAGCCAAGGGCTCCTCCAATTAATACTAGATACGTTGAATGGCAAACACACCCTAATGAAACCCCTGGAGCCACGCCTTCTTAAGGCACTCCTATTGCTGGCAAGGTCCTGGCTGCCTCGACCACTGCCTTAATCCTGCATCACGGTTCCTGTGAAGACTGGTCTACCTTATGACTACTCAGAATTATGTATTTCTTCCTGCAAGAAACACTTAGGAGTGTGCAACTACTTAGGCATGCTGGTCAGATGGTTCCCACACCACGAGGACACATGTAAGATGGCAAACCATAGGCACGGGAGAGCCCTGCACGGTCAGAAGGCTGAAAACCTTGGTGGTTTCCTGGCCCACCCCTCATTTTACTGAAGGGGCACAGTGGGGACCAGAAAAGGTCAGCTTAGACTTGAGTATGTTTTCCCAGTGTATCTGGCCGCTCCTGGATCCAGAGGACAGCCAGAAGTTTCTTCACAACAAGCCCTCTAAGAATCCAGCAGCCCAACTCGGAAAATCAGTGTAGGCCTTTCATATTCCAACTGGACTCTCCCATCCTTAACCTTGCTCATTTTGCCAGATAATCATGCAGAAGTCTAAGAAATCCTCCCACACAGCGTGTGAGCTTCCTACTTAGAACCTTAGAGCATCTAGGTGAAGGGCTATCATGTGCTTGCAACTTGGCAGGATGCAGCAAGAATCACAAGTTGAGTCTGCCTGCCTAAAGAGCTGAATAGGCAGGTGGGTCATTACTACGGCTGTGTTGAAGGAGTCCGGACTAGGACTCTAAACTCAATACAGCTTAAGCTTTTCAAGTCTGGCTTGTGGGCTTTGGGGCCAAAGGAGATACAGCCCTCTTTAAATTGCACCTATTATTCACACTTAAGGAATCACTATCTGGGAGCTGTTTCAAAGGGTACAATTCAAGACCCCAAAGTTCAACTCTAACTTAAGTCTTAAGTTTATTAAGTCTTAAAACAGGACCAAGGCACGTCACGCAGATGAGAGATACACTTAACACAGGGTCGTAATGGCAATCAAAGGTTTGGTAAGAATCAGGGACTTGAAAGGTCATGCGAGGGCAAAAGAAACTCACAAAAAGCACGAATGACAGCAGATCAATACATCACAGTTACAGGTGGAAAGAAAAAAGTGAGAACTGGACCTTGATTGGGACCCCTTACACTGTTACACAGAAATGCTTACAAGACCAATCCTGGGCTTCCATCAGATCAAGAGAGTCAGGGCTTGACTCCTGACTACTGGAACCCAGTCGCCTGATCTCCATTAAAGAGGTGCACACGCAAGCCCCTCGGGAAGACCTCCTAGAGGGGTTGCAGTAGGCGGTGGGTGGAGTAATCTACTTCCCAGAGCACTCTGCGTCAGTGCAAGACTGTTCCCATCTTTGGCTAATGGTCAGAAGGAATTCAAATGGACTCTGCTAACGGGATTTGGGGCTTTCAACTGTTATCCGTAGCCTTTTGCAAACCTGGGGCTCAGAGTTCAAGCTCTAAGGCAAGGCAGAATCCAGAAATCTGCATTTTAACCAGCACTCCAGAAAATAATCAACATTCCTACCAGTTTGCTCCCTT